GAGGTCGGCTGCTGCGGGAAATACTTCCTGTTTGGCTTCAACATTGTCTTCTGGGTGAGCGCGGGGTGGGTTTCGGGCCCTGAGCTGGGGGTGACCGGAGAGGGAGGTTCAGTTTTCTATGGAGGGGAGACCACTCCCTGCCGCAGGGGCTTAGGACGGTCACCCCGCTCCTCCCTCCCTCTCCTACCTGCCCGCCCACCCCCAAGGCCACTGGAGCCAGCTGCCGGGGAGCTCGGAGTGCAGGGGGGCGGGTCCCAGCCCCCACGGGCCTGGTGCGGGGAACCGGTCTCCCGGTGTCTTCCCTGGCACGGCGGAGAAGGGGGAGTGTTTCCTTGAAGGCCCCAGGGGTCCTGGTGGCCCTCCCTCCTGCCCAGCTCACTTCCATACCCTGGGGTGTGGGGTGCACGCTGAGCCCCCCTCCGGTTTAGGGAAGAGAGTCTGCTGAGAAGGGAAAGGCAGGGTCTCTTTCTCCGCCCCCTGGCCCCTCCAGCGCCTGGGCCTGGTACCTTGCCTGGCAAAGGGGGCTGAGTCAAAGCCTCTCCACTCCAGCCCCTCGCTGGGAGGCTTTCCGGCGGGAAGGGCCAATGCTCAGAGCCCTAGGGCAGGGTCTCCCCTATTGAGTGGCCGGGAGCTGGCTGGCCCTGGGGTACAGAATTCTACCTTCCGCAGCTGACCAACCCAGGCTCCAGGGTGGGGCTGGCCCTGTCCTGAGAAGGGAGCTGCTGGTGCCCCTCCCAGGGTGGCATCTGTGCCCCTGGGCCCTGCCAAGTCATCTTTCCCTTCTCCCTCCCCCACCTCCTCTCCTCAAGGCCCTTGGCTGCCTCTGCAGTCTCTGCTTCTGCCGCCTTGCTCAGAATGCCAAACCCATTCAGTTCTGTTCAGCAGGGCTCAGTGGCACAGCCCTCTGCCACCATGCTGGCCATGCAGTCAGCCGTTTGGGTGTCCTTTGGCTCTAGCAGTGCCCAGCTCTTGGAGGGTGTGGGATATGTGCAGACTTCCCTGGAGACCTTCGTGCACAGGCCTAGCTGTGAGACTGTGGGCGAGTCACTTCTCTCTGGGCTCTGCTTCCCTGCCTGGGAGAGGGTGATAATAAAGCCTGCCTCAGGGTTAGGCATATCAAATGGAGCGTAGTTTACTGTATTCTTGAAGCTGCATTATTATTTTCTACATTTTACAGATTATCTATATTTTACATGTAACAGGCACAGGGAGGTTAAGTCCTTCAACCTCAGGACACACAGCTAGTAAGTACAGAGCCAAGGTGACAGCCTAGCGGGCGGTAGGTGGAGGGGAGGCAGAGCATTTAGCAGAGGGATCCCTCAAATGCCAAAGGGGGACAGAAGTGAGAGAATCCAGGTGTGTTCCAGGGTGTTGGGGCTAGGGCAGAGTTTGAGTTTTATGTTGAGTGCCGTGTGGAGCAGTGAGGGCTTCAGTGCTGGTGATGGGTCTGTTCGAGTCAGATCTGTATGTCTGCCTTGGGGAGGGTGAATGAGGGGCAGGAGTTAGAGGTGGGGAGACCAGGGAGGAGGGCTGGGGTAAATTTAGGGTGGTGATGGTGGGAGGAAATCTCCAGGGAAAGTTATAAGGCTGGATTGATAGGACCAGGCCACTTGGGGCGGAGGGGTGTGTGTATGTGTAGAGGGAAGGCCTAAGGGAGGTGCCTATGAAACAGGTCCAGAGATTTTTTTGTTTTAATGGAAAGCAGATCCTGGTGTTACCCTGCTCATAATCTTCCAGTGCTTTCTCACTAGAATACGGTCCAGACTCCTTCCCATGGCCTTCAGCACCCTTTGGGGTCTGGCCCTGCTTCCTTCAGTTTGTCCCTTGCACTACCAAAATTAATCTAACTTCAGGTCCTTGTCAGGCCTCCCCTTAGAATTCTCTTCTCCTCTCTGTACCTTTTTGTCATTTAAACCTTTGCTAAAATGTCACCACTTTCCACAACTAAAGCCCGCCTCCACCACCGCTAATCACTCCCCATTGCGTCATCCTGTTTGATTTTCTTTAAAGGATCTGTTGGTAACTGAAATTACCTTATTTACTCACTGTGGATTTCCCCCACTGGAGTGTAAACTCCATGAGAGCTGAGAGCTATCTGTCTTATTCACTGATGTGTTCCCAGCATCTGGAACAGAACCTGGGACATGGAAGTATTTGCAGTAAGTGTCTGGAGCTAGGGAGAGGCTTGGGTAGCAATCCTGGATGTCAGTGTCATGAAGGGGTAGAAAATGAGTGTGAGGAGGAAGAGGGCAGAAGGCTAAGGCTGGAACTGGTGGAGGGTGGGCATGGCCATGTGCATAGGGTGGGTGAAGCAGAGGTGCTGGGAGGGAGGTTGAGAAAGGGCAGGTTGAAGAACGGCATTGAGCAAATCACTGAGGTCTTCAGGAAGGAGAAAGTAGTGGTGGTAGCCTGTCCAAAGGCTGTATGTTGGTCAAGTGGGATGAGGCAGGAGAAGTGATGTTTGGTTTCACATCCCAGATCCAGTGTGGGGGAGGGAAGGAAAGACATTTCTAAAGATAGAGGACAGCAGTGGGAGGAGCCTGGGGTCAGAGAGGGGAAGGAAGGCATTAAAGGTGGGGTAGAGCTGACCAGGCTAGGTGCTGAGGTGAAGGAGCCTGAAGGGAAAG